TTAACTTTCTGCAATAATGTACTTGGTACAAGCAGACAAATACACCCTGAATTATATCTAAAGAAAAAAGGAAATAGAACATAGGGATGGGGGTGTGAATTCTTTTCCAAGTTTTCAGTGCATACTTTTAGCGTAATTATAACTATGACTAGGGAAAAAAAGAAAAACAGTTACATTTTTAAAGAGGTGTGTTTTTTTGTTTTTTTTTAAAAGAAAAACGTGTTCCTGTGATCCCCTAAATTCTCTGGGAGGTAATCTGAGGATTCTAACAATCTGAGCTATTTATAAAGAGCCAATTCATAGTAATGTTTACGATCCAGAGCCCTCCAGCAATAGTCTACAAAGTAATGTTGAATGTGGCCCATTCTTAAAGGCCCACTCAAGTAAAAAAGGTGAGTTTTAATTAAAACAGCAACATTTTAATAGTGTAATAGCCCCTATTTTTAAATTGTTGTAATTTATAATCATTTTGTGGCCCAACCCTCCAATTTGTCTAAGTCACTCTGGACTCTATCCCTGCCCTCCAGTGTATCTACCTCTCCCCCTAGCTTAATGTCATCCGCAAACTTGCTGAGGGTGCAATCCATCCCTTCATCCAAGTCATTAATAAAGATGTTGAACAAAACCGGTCCCAGAACCAAACCTTGGGGCACTCCGCTAGATACCAACCGCCATCCTGACATCGAGTTGTTGATCATTACCCGCTGGGCCCGACCTTCCAGCCAGCTTTCTATCCATCTTACAGTCCATGTATCCAATCCACATTCCCTTAACTTGCTGGCAAGAATATTGTGGGAGACCATATCAAAAGCCTTGCTAAAGTCAAGGTATATCACATCCACTGACTTCCCCATATCCACAGAGTCAGTGACCTCATCATAGAAGCTAATCGGATTGATCAGGCACGACTTGCCCATCATGAATCCATGCTGACTACTCTTGATCACCTTCCCCTCTCCCAAGTGCTTTAAAATGGATTCCTTGAGGATCTCCTCCATGATTTATCCAGGGACTGAGGTACAACTGACCGGCCTATAGTTCCCTGGATTGTCCTTCTTCCCTTTCTTAATGATGGGCACTACACTGGTCTTTTCCCAATCATCTGGGATCTCTCCTAATCTCTACAACTTTTCAAAGATAATGGCCAGAGGCTCCTCAATGACATTTGCCTCCCCATTACCCAGCCTATAGGTAGGCATGACAGCTGCAAACTCTCCATGACACTGCTGTGGAGCATTAGAACTACTGTACTAGATTAATTTAATTGTATATCCTGCAGCTCCTCCTTAATTCTCTGGACTCAGAACCAGCCTATGCAGAATTAGAGATCCCAATGTAGAGCATACAGCATGTGCACACTGGTCCCAAACCATGGACATTCCACCTGTGAACCATCATTCAAAACTCCAGGCACACTAGAATGGTGCACAGATTTTTTTTGGCCACAGGTGAAATTACCTGGAACCACTATTATGCTAGCCTACTCACACTCCATTACAAAGGTTTATAGGCTTTGTTTCTTGATGCTCATGTCCTGCCACTGTATCTCTTCATGTCTCCAATTCACGCCAGACTTAGGCTAGTGTATTTTGATTTATGCAACAAGACAGAGAATACAATATCAGATTATGGGATTAATCTACTCACAAACTATGGATAAGGACTTAGCCATTTTGTTTATCCCTACTAGGGATGTTAGTTTGCAGTCGTTCACACAATAAACCAATAAGAGTGTGCTTATGGGCTAATCCTAATGGCTACCTGCACCCAGGGCCGGATGGAGGCATGGGCGAGCCGGGCGGGCAGCCACCCAGGGCGCCAACTGATGGGGGGCACCTGATGGCAGCTATAAGGGGCGTGCTACCATCAGGTGCTGCGCGCCCAGCTCCCGCAGCACCAGCCTGCCCGCATCCCCGTGACACTGGCCAGCAATACCCTTTCCCCCACAGCTGCAGGGCACTACATAGCCCAGCGTGCACACCAGCAGCAACAGCCGGGCTGGACTAAGCCGTGCTTGCGCCGTGTGCCCTAGGGGCAGGCCCCGGGCTGCGCGCCAGCGGCCGTAGCTGAGCCACGCATGTGCTGTGTGCCCCGGGGGTGGGCCTGGGGTTGCGCGCCAGCTGCTGTAGATGGGTCGCGCATGCGCCGTGCGTCTGGGGGCAGTGCCTGCTTTTGAGCTGGCTCCCCATGCGTGCCGCCTGTCCCCTGCCACTGCCTCGGATAGAAAGGCAGCTGCTCAGGCAGTGAGGGGGGCAGGAGGGTGTTGGTACATGTGGGAAGCCATCTCCCTGTGCATAATGGCTTGGATTCTGGAGCTGCTGCCCCCATGCTGCTGCCTCTGTATCAGAGGCAGCTGCAGGGAAAGAAGGGGGGGGGGGGGAGGAAATTGGCAGCTCTGTGGGAACAAGAGAGACACGTTTTAAGCTAGCTCTCTGCATGTACAGGCTCCTGCAGAGCCCCCTGCCCTACTGCCTCTGGGGGAGAAGAGGAGAAGATGGGAGCTGTTGCTTGCAGCCTGTGCTCTTGTCTGCCTTCCCACGTGTAAACGTGTAACCCAGGAGTGGGAAACCAGTGGCCGGGGACCAAATGAGGTGCCTGGCTTCCCTGGATCCAGCCCCAAATGCTCAGGGCTCTCCCCCCCAGCATTGGGGAGCTGGTGCTCCAGCACTGCAGCTCCCCTTCCCACCCAGATCCTGCATTCCCATTCTGCTCCTGCACCCTACTATCCTCCCAGACACACCAGCCCTCAACTCACTCCCACACACTCACTCCTTCCCAGACCCCACATCCAAGCCCACTTCCTGGCAGCCCCCTCACACATTGAACTCATTTTTGGCCTCGCCCCAGAGTATAGGGTGGCTCACAAAATCTACTAGCCTAGGCCCCCCTAAGCTCTGATATGTGAGGGGAATGTGAGAGAGAAGGGGTTGTTTTCTTTTGTTTTCCTCATTTTTTGCGGTCCCTGACTGATTTGTGTGTGTTAGCGGTCCCCAAACCAAAAAAGATTCTCCACCTCTGGTATTTTAGCAGTTATAAGTCCAGCTGTCACATTTACACAAATACACACTAGTGAACATCCCTAATCCCTACCCTGAAAAAAAGTAATTTGTCTCCTTTATCTCACATGAAAGTTTACAACCGCTCCTATTGGCCATATGAAGTTATGCTCTTAAAGTACAGTTTCTGTCTTCAAAAGCCCCAATCTAAGATTAAGTTCACATCCTGACAGTCCTAAAAGCTTTCATGGGAATCGGTGGCAACAGCTGCTACACTGCACAGCTTGATAACAATCAGTGCTAAGGAACCTGGCAATTTAACTTTCTTCCTCTGCTCAGTTTTGTTGATAGACGAGAGTGGATTGTCTAGAGAGGGAGAAAAGGAAACCCTGTGTAAACTGCTTTACACCAAATGATGGACTATCTACACGGATATCCAGTAACGTTATGCATGCCACACATTCATACCTGTGGCTCTAGGGTTTTTGTTTTTAAATTGCCAAAAGTGCTCGCGCTCTCTCTTACTCTGGCAATAAAGCATGGGCAGGCTGTAACTTGGGCACTGTAGACATAACCTCTGTCTCAGACTAACAAAACCCTCACCGCATCACAAAAGTCTCTTTATACAAGTTTATATTGTTCAGTCTGTTTCAAAAGTCCAATGAAGCATAGCATCCCCTCATCTTAGTGAGTAAGACTCCTAGCAATGTTCACATACCAAATCAGACAGCAGTTGCTTGCAACGAATATTACTGTTAGCTCAGATAGTCTCAAACTGTGGTCTGCAGAGAACTTGGCTGTTCACATCACACTGGCTTTTCCTCCTTGTTCAGAGCGACAGTATAAAGTCAGTTATGAATGCCTCTGGAATGGAGATTGTCATAACACCAAAACTTTCATAACTCTGAACAAAGTGTGATTGTTGTTCCTTCAAAAGTTTACAGCTAAATATTGACTTAATACAGCTCTGAAACTTTACTATATAGAAGAAATATGCTGCTTTCCCTTTATATTTGTTACAAGTTCCACCCAAAATACGAAAAAAGGTCAAACATACAGCATACATATCAAGAGACAGATAACATTTTGTCATACAGATGAAAGACAAAATTGCTGCCATGCCACAGAATGTGCACCACAAAACAACTAAGATTTCCTACAAGCAAGCATGGACATACATTCTGCACACCACAAAATGCCACAACCACTTGCTGCATAAGTATGCAGTGAATAGTGGCCAGACATACTGAGTGATTGTGTAATCGCTGGCATTCCCCCAGCTCCAAAAGAAATCAACACACGGTATTAGGTCAAATGTACTCCTCCCTTGGTAATCTTACTGGTAACAAAAAGAATAGGAAACTCAGCCTAAGCTTTCTCTCCAATTGCAGCTCTTCCTAGGGTTTTTCCTGGAGAACTTCACCATCTGTGCTCCTATATGAAAGCATGAATCTACCCATCCTTGAACCCCAGACCTTCAGCACTAGGCAGGGCTCTAAAACCCCCTGCCAGGATAGTCATAGTATAGTCACATATACCTGTATGAGGTTGTGGATCTTGTCACCCTGTTTAAGTTGGAACACAGGTTTGTGTGTTAAGTGGTCCAATAACACAGTGATAATGGAACAAATGCCTAAATAAAAACATTATTCGATATTAATACCATGAATAGGATTAAATTAAGCTCCAGGTACAAGTCAAGATTTGTGAAAGACCACAGTCTGGTAGAAGACTGATGGACCCCGTATGCATGCAGATTTTCACATAAGCCAGCTAATGTCACAAGCGAGGGATGTGGCCAATTCTGATTAGCCTGTGTAACTGAGAATTATACTCCCTAACAGAAACAGTGTAGAAACCAACTGTACTCTCCTGATATATTAGTGTTTGGAAAATGCTTCTGTTCTCTGTAGTTGATTAACTTACAGCCTTATCAAGTTGGGAGTTAGGGACTGTTTCCACAATACAAAACAATCTAGCCAGAGGGAGTCCTAGAGTACTTACATCACTCTTTCTGAACTTTGCTTTCAGGCTCTTCATGTTTATCCCATTCAGTCTTCCAAATCTGAGTTGTTTTTAACACCTAGGCAAAAGAGAAAGGAAAATAAGTGTATAACTAGTTACCAACCACATAGGGTCTCTAGGATGTTATTACATTTTTTAAAATGGATGTTTGATCTACCAAAAAAAAAAAAAAAAAGCAAGCAGTATCGATTATGGCTTATTTTTCAACACGCAGCTTCCTTAAAATCTACAGCATTTTATAGTTTTCTGACATTTAAGTAGCACAAGCCCAACACTGTCCAAATTTCTGCAGAGCAATAGTATGAAACAATCTTTAGCTGTTATTTGTTAAATTTGTATTTTATAATACCATAGGTTGGACCTCCCTGGTCTGGCATTTTCAGGACCGAAAAAGGGAGTGTGCCGGACCAGGGGAGGTCAAGCTTCAGGTAGTCCTGAGATTCCCCTTCTGGCTCAGCCAGTGCCCCACCCCTCCTCTGCTGGCAGAGCTCCACTCAGGGCTGCAGCCCTGCTCAGACTGGCAGAGACTCTGCACCACTGGCCACAGGGACTCCCTGCGCCCGGACGATGGAGCTGCACTCTCAGACGCAGGGGCTGCCTGACCCCGGATGGCGGCTCCTCCATGTCCCCTGCTGCTGGGGCTTCCTGCCCCGGGCCAGCAGAGCTCCATCCCAGCTGTCAGGGCTCCACATCCCCAACCAGCAGCTACTTCAGGGTCAGTGGGACTCATCTCCTAACTGGCTTCCTGCCCCCAAGTCACTTGCCCCTGCAGGATGCCTGCTGCCAGACTGGCTGAACTCCTAGCCGCCAGCACTGGCAACTTCTGTGGCTGGAGCTCTCTAGTCTATCGTGGATGTTCAACCTATAGTAATAGCTTGCCTATAGAGAACCACGGACATTACAAATAATATTCGTATGAGCCTACAATCTTATTTTAGTGTTATTATCAAAGCAATTGCTTGTAATGGGAGATAGGGAGAAGTAACAGTAGGGAAGTATGCAAATTCATTAAATTAAAATTCCTGCACCCAACCCTGGAACACACTGCAGTATGATGTCGGAAGCATTGTCCATCACTTTCAAATACACAGAGAAGGACTGTACACACATCTCTAGTAATAGTTTGTTACACACATGAAAAACAAACTTAATAGGAAGACAATAGTTGTTGGGAGAAAGATTAACAAACTCCTTGAATGAACAAAATCACACAAATAAATTTAGAACAATTCAACATCTGTTAAAAACTAACAAAGTATGATTGTATTTACAGAATAGTCGATCCATGTATTTTTGGAGTTTTAGCTATCACGCAAGCTCCTACTGAAGGAACACTGTAACAAAAAAGCATATTCATCTGCAATGTTCTGTTCCTTTCTAGAAATTTCCCCCTCTAACTTAGAAGAAAGAAGAAAGAAAAGAATCCTTACTGAAATTCAGAGTATAGTAAAAATTAATAGCTATGAACATACTTCCCTCCTCTAATTTCGATAGATCCCCTAGGTTCACTGTGAAATTTCATGTAATTTTCAGGAACTCTAGACTTCAGTTTGATAAAGAAAAAAGTATTCTTTCATCACAAATGTTAAGATGACCACACTATTGTACAAATTAAGATTTAATAGACACTCAAATGTAGTCTTTCAAAATGGTATCATAGTTTATCAACAGTTACACTGCAGGAACATGGCATATTTGTGGGAAATCAAGAAAAGAAAAAAAAAAAAAAAAGAAGAAGAAAAACAAAACCAGCACCACATTCACCAGGCATGTCAAACTGGCATCTGGAGGCCTGCATGTGGCCCCATGGAAGTTTTTTGCGGCCCGCCAGTACATTTTGAGAAAGACTGAAGTGCAGCCCACTGGCCGCTCAGATCATGTGGCCAAGTGCAGGCCATGCTGGTTGGCCGCTCTGCACAGGGCGCCACAGCAACTACTGTACTCAAGGCTGGCCTGGCAGCTCTGCGCACAGCCCAGCTGGGCAGCTCTGTGCATGGCCCGCCCCCAGCACGTGCTTACAACCGGCCAGCCACTCTGCAGCCACCAAGAGCCTGATCACAGCTGGTTGCTGTGCTCACGCTGACCCAGGGCCTAAGGAAGTGTTGCGGCGGCAACGCAACAATGGTGGCTCCAGAACCCAGGCTTTAGGTTGGGGAGTGCCTGCTTCTGGGAGAGGCATTAGGTTAGGAGGGGGCTGAAAATCCTTTGCTCTGGGGGAGGCATTAGGTTAGGAGGGGGCTGAAAATCCTTTGCTCTGGGGGAGGCATTAGGTTAGGAGGGGGCTGAAAATCCTTTGCTCTGGGGGAGGCATTAGGTTAGGAGGGGGCTGAAAATCCTTTGCTCTGGGGGAGGCATTAGGTTAGGAGGGGGCTGAAAATCCTTTGGGGGGGAGAGGCTCTGGGGAAGAGGGGAGGCATTGGACCACAGCTCTTCCTCTTTTACAAATATACAATTAAGTGTTATTTGGATGATGTCGCATACAGTTTCTCAAATAATATGATAGCATACAGTTTTTTTCCTACTGAATGGAATGGAATCAAGAGTACCGTAATATAGACATATGAAAGGGCCTGAGTTGTGGTTCCCAGTTTAATTTTCATATATCCTGTGTTAATATTTATCAATTTCCTTCTAATGTAGGCATTGCCAAATCAGCCAATGGGAGCCTCTAGTCTAGTCCAGTATTCTAGCTACAAAAGTGGCCAATAAAAGATGTGTCACAGGATGGGGTGGGAGTGTGTTCACATATGTCCACAAGAAACTACAGTGAACAGTTATCCCTGGATAAGGAATGTTGTTTCTTCACTCCCATCATTTTTTGGCTGGCTTATAACCTGAAACATGAATCGGTTTTAATCTGTTGTTCATCCTACCTATGGTATTTTAGATGTTCTCATTATCATCAATAAGCCTTTATCCTTAAAAAAAAAAATGACCTTACTGCTATTTAATGGCAGTGAGTTCCACAGATGAATTGGGTAAAAAAAAGTTTCCTTTTATCAATTTTAAATTTGTCGTCATTTAAGTAAATGTAAAAAGCTATTCATTGAAGCCAGGCAAAGGTGACCCATTAATCTTTGTAATGGCATTACAATACTTTCGGTGTTATTTCCTTTCCTTATGAATTCAGTGAAATCCTTTCCTTATGGATTTCACTCTCCCTCTTCCCCTTTTAACATCTATTACGCATTGAGCAAATGTTCTTTTTTTGGTGTGAAGCTGGTCAAAAGGACAGGAAAATTGGGTCTGTCTGTCTTTGCAGCAGCTATGCTAATTGCATCTAGTGACAGATGGCAGAACAAGGAGCAACGGTCTCAAGTTATGGTGGGAGAGGTCCAGGTTGGATATTAGGAAAAACTATTTCACTAGGAGGGTAGTGAAGCACTGGAATGAGTTAACTAGGGAAGTAGTGGAGTCTCCATCCCTAGAGGTGTTTAAGTCCCAGCTTGACAAAGCCCTGGCCGGGTTGATTTAGATGGGATTGGTCCTGCCTAAAGCAGGGGGCTGGACTTGATGACCTTCTGATGTCTCTGCCAGTTCTAGCATAAGGGGATGGTTTGAGAACATGATCTTGGTAACTAATTGACCATTCATTATCAGTGGGAAATAGGTCAATGGAGGGATGATAAGAGTTACTATAGAGAATTTTCTGGGTGTCTGGCTGGTGAGTCTTGCCCACATGCTCAGGGTTTAGCTGATCGCCATATTTGGGGTCGGGAAGGAATTTTCCTCCAGGGTAGATTGGCAGAGACCCTGGAGGTTTTTCGCCTTCCTCTGTAGCATGGGGCACAGATCACAGCTGGAGGATTCTCTGCATCTTGGGGCCTTCAAAGTATTTGAAGGCTTCAATATCTAAGACATAGGTGAGAGGATTATTCTAAGAGGGGTGGGTGAGATTCTGTGGCCTGCACTGTGCAGGGGGTCGGATTAGATGATCATAATGGTCCCTTCTGACCTTAAAGTCTATGAGTCCCTTTTCACATTTTTCAGAGTGTTAATAATTGTTTTTAAAATAGGGTTTCAATCATCGGTCCTGGTATTCAAGACCATGCTCTTTTTTGTAATTCCAAGATCCATTCCTAGGGCTTTTAAGATAAAAACAATATTCGCCACTCTCCAGGTCTCTAGGAAAGAATTTATTTTTATGATTGCTTAACTTCATTAGTAGCTCACCTCGTTCATTCTGAAATTTCTTCCAAACACATGAATCATTTCCTCTGCACCTGCTGCTCTTAGATTTGTCACTTTGTTCTAGCACCCCATCTTAAATACATCCACAGAAGTTGAGGAACAGTTTCTGTGGAAAGGAATTACTTAGCTTCTTTGCAATGTCTTTAATTCTCCTTCAACTTTCTGTTTATTCTCTGCTAGTCTAGCAGACTCAACATTGTCTCTCATAGACTTCCTGCTTCTTAGAAACAAATATTTTTGTAATGTTTTGGCTCTTTGCTCATCAATTCCCACTTTGCATACCTGATATCTATCTTACATTTTACCTATCCTTATTTCATTTTCTGCTCTATAGACTTAACTATAGACACTGCGTTTCTTTAAAGAAAATTCAAAGGCTATTGTTTACCAGGCTGAAGCAATTATTCTGAGATATGAGTCTCTCCCTTATTGTTTGGGACAGAACTGAATTTTTTTAAAAAAAAAACATAATCCTCTTAAGTTAAAAAAAAAAATTGAGGAAACCATAGCAGAGAACAAGCTGGAGTGAAACAACTGTGCTAATTTACTTCTCAGTTCAGTTTAAGTTTAAAAACCTCACAAGATACAATAGGGTAGTAGTGTTAAATTTAAAATACATGGAGTGTTGTTTTTTTTAAAAAGGTACAGTTTTTTTTCCACTGTTAGCTTTGTGCTATAAACAGTCCTTAGCTAAAACATAATGTAATAAATAACTATGACTTTCTGACAAAGTACTTTTTGGGGGGGGGGGGGGGTTACAAAACCTTGTGGCCCTGAAAGCTATCAGTTTTCGTTTGTGTGGCCCTCGGTAGACTTCGAGTTTGACATGCCTGACATACACTATACTACAAACCATCCTTTAGAACT